AAATTGTGAATTTCAATGATAGTAAAAAGTAAACAATTTAGCGAATACTAGTTTTATTTTTAACTACCTGAATGATTTAGAATTTTAAAAAAGTTCAGAAATTTCATTAGTGTGCTATTTTAACAAATTTCAAAAATAAAAGAATACAGAGATCTTTTATTTACTATAAATACTTATCTTTATAAATTGAGGTATCCAGAGATTCAAACATAATATCCATACTTACAAAGATCAAAACATAGCCTTCTGGAAAAATAAAAAGATTCCAGCAAATACTGAGAAAATTAAAATTTTTATGTGATAAAATAAAAAGACCATCTCAACTTTTAAGTTTTAAATGTATGGAGAGTTAGGTCATGTTCATAACATGTTGTGTTTCTGGTTTTTGATATTAGCTATGAAATAGAAAATTCTGGAGGAGTTAACACAATTTAAAAGTATTTATCGTGACTTTTTTAAAAAACAGAATTTCCATGTGGAAATCCTATTTTCTTATGCTATTCCTCTTATTGTCACCTTTTATTGAGAAGAATTGAAGGTTTTTCTTCTAAAAGAGCATTCTGAGAGACAGACAGTAATATAATAAATCAACATCCCTTTTGTATCAATTCAAACTTTTTCTAAGTGTTTGAGATTTCTGAGCCCTCTTTATTTATGAGTTGAATTCATCACAGAATTTCAGACTCAGGACATTTTTATTTGGAATCCAGATAACTTTTTCCATAAATCCTCCGATGGGAGAGAAGACCTATTAATTCTTTTATGTAATTCAACAGAACAGTTGACTCTCTTCCATTTTTCTCCAACACAAAAACCAGAAAGATCATATTAGTAGTGTCTCTGCTTCTGGTGCATAACTCAGATGACATATCATTCATAGGACTGCGATATAGCTGAGATTTTAAGAATATACTGATTTTAAAGACATTATGACGATATTTTTATAAGCATGGTCAAGCATACTTACTATACAAATCTGTGAGAAAATCTACATAAATCACTTCTGTTCTGTGTTGTATTTTTATTTGCTGGAAGATCTATTTTGTAACAAAAAACACAGATATGATATTTTCTAAAAAGCTTGATTCCTCTGACATTACATCCCATCATTTCCCCACAGAATTGTTTCAAAGCAACAAATTGTTATTTTGTTTTTGTTTAAATTACTCCTTCACTTCTCAAATGCCTGCTGATGTATTATTATTTTTGTTAGAAATATAAATTAAATTTATATGCAGACATCTCTGAACTCAACTATTTTAATTATACTTTTTGATCATTATAATTTGAAAAGGAAAACATAATTTTACTTAAGTGTCTCTAAGATCCTGGGGAATGAGAAAAAATGAAATCACAAGAGGTGGAAACACCTTGAGAAAAGGACCAGATTTGTGAGGGTGTGGTAGATGAGACTTCGAGGCACATTCTTATTGCTATAGGGGGAAAGCATGCCCAGAATCTGCCCTCATTATGTCTGGTGCTTGCCAGTTCTTTTCAAACCTCAGTTTCATGAGCACCATAAAAATTCACTTAAAATCGAAAAGAACACCCTGAAGTTAAAATCCACTCTGCTTTGCCTTGCCTCTCATGGCCTGGAATGTCACCTTTTACCTCCAGTAAATAAAGCCAACATCAACACTCTTCCATGTCTTTTATTTTTTATGCACTCAATATTCTTCACATGACAATCTGGACACTTCCAAGGGAAATTACAGTAGTGATCTATGTTCCAGCAAAGAGAATTGTCTTTATAATATATAGTTACAGTGTATCCATCATTTTCTTTTGTTTCTTGGACTGTTCCCATTGAATTAAGTAAATCTAAAATGAAATTAAAAGAGACATGATTAATAGTGGACTACCAAGACATAATGATGTCATACTTTTTAAAATATGACCCAGCATGTGTGTCTAAGTAGCATTCCCCAACAGAGACAATTGCACTGTTTTACTGTCTTCCAGGGTATTGTCTCTTTAACCTATTTCCGAGAAGCCACCGAAAAGTTCTAATATGTCACAATTCAAATGTCAACATCTTGTTGGAAAGGAAGCTAATAAGTTAAACCTTTGAGAGATGCCAAAACAGAGGTGACTCAAATGTTGAGAGAAGTCCATTGTTTTCTAAGGGGAATAGAATGCTGGAATGAAACAGGGTACTTATAAGTATTTAACTGGATGGTTTAGGGGAAAAAAGCAAACTCACACTTTATTATTTTTTACAAATCTGGTAACTTTTTGAATAGAACTGTTCCTCTCAGTGTACTTCCAAAGGGAAAATGTGAATGTTAGGGATAATAAGACACAAACTGCAAATTTACTGTTCTTTATAGAAATAGCACATTACAATTACAATACAAGCAGTGATTTTCCTAATATAGTCTGGATTCTATCTATTGATAGATACAAAGGATCTTGGGTTATAGTATAACATAGCAACATTTTAGGTTTGGCATTGTTTTCTATAAACCAGCTTCAGGTGGTTAAACTACTATTGAATGAAAGATATTATTTTATTTTGACAGGAAAGAAACTAAGCAGAAAATACTCCTCATTGAATTATTTCTCAAATTTAGCACAATTTTGTGCTCTGGTCTTTTTATAGAAAAAGAAACAATTGGACTTTAGAGCCACCTACTGGAATAAAGAGGCACGTCCTCAGCTTTTCAAAAGATAAACATGTAGATAAATGCAATTAAAGTATCAGCATTTGGCTGATTTTATATGACAATTTATTCAGCTCTTCTCAGTTTGAAATATCAAGTGGTCCTGCAGAAAACCATAGTTAACAGCAATATCTTGTACAAATAGATTCTTCCCATTTCTTAG